TCGCTACAGTTCAATCACTTCATCTTGTTCTGTGTTTCTCCTGCTAGCACTTGTCCGGGTTAAGTTGTGTTTCAGTAAACGCTGTGAAAAATACAGGAGGGTGCTGCAGTGACATAAACAGGGATTGCTTTTACTACTGCTTCTCTTCTGTGACAGCAAACACAAACTTCCAGTAACTATTCTTCTTATCGAGGCTCATTAAAGCCGATTGAAGTAACTTTACTATTCTTAAAACAACACTTTTCTTTTCTTTGACTGTAACGTGTTTGTATTTTGTCTCACACTTAAGAAAAAGTTTAAATCCTGTGACTTTTCTGCACTGAAAATGTTACTTAAAGTAAAAATATGTAAGTCTATTGAGGAAACTGAAAGTAAAAGTCTGAATCTCATGTGACTGTTACACTATAATACAGAATTTAATGTCATTAAATTGTAATTACTCGTGCATGAATTTTACAGCAGAACTTTTTACTAATGTAGTATTAGTACCAAACCACTCAAACCATCAAATCAATATTCAAATGCTGCATTATAGTTTAATAATTGTAATATTATTAGGCCTGTGTCTCAAATGATCACATCTGTTTAATTCAGAATTCAGTTCATTTTTAAATCGCATGCCCAGAGAAGCCCATCTGACTTTATCAATCCTCTAACGTTTCATCTATCGTGTCCAGTTTCTAGTCATTAATAACAGAAGCTGCAATCACTTTGGCTTTTTTGAGCTTTTTTTTTTTTTTTACTTCTGTTTTTCACTCTGTCTATGTAACGGCATCAACCTCAAGTCTAGTCGCCTTAGTCTAGGTGGTTTATATCAGCGGTCTTCAACCTTTTTTGCACCACGGACCGGTTTTAAGCAAGAAATTTTTCTACGGACCGGTCATTACACACATAACAAATAATGATATGTTTTTTTTTCTATTAAAAAGTTTCATAAATAAATGAAATTAGTTTTTATTGCTTAACATGTTTACTTTTTCTTCTGTCTCAGTATCAAGTCTCTCCCACTTTCCAAAGCAGCTCTCCTGAGACGTTTGTTTTTGACTGACGGCTTCGTTTAGCAGCCGGGCAGAAAAACTGACAGTCAAGTGCAGGAAACGACGGGAAGACGAACTAGTCATGTTTCAAAATAAAACACCCTGCAGACTCCGCTGGAAATAAAAATAAACCAATAAAACGTTTTTATTCTGTCTGTGCGGCCCGGTACCAAATGACCCACGGCCCAGTACCGGTCCGCGGCCCAGTGGTTGGGGACCACTGGTTTATATGATTGAGGTTACAGACACTATGTGGGTTTTGGCAGCGCTGCACTGGAGGCTGATCTGGAGGATTCATTTACAAAAAACGGATAAAAGCCACTTGAAATGAATAAATACACCAACACCAGTTTGATTGATATTCCTTTGACGACACAAAGAAGAAAAAAAAAGAAAGAAAGAAAAAAAAAAAAACAATTTAGAACAATTGAAGCAGCCCAACACCAGTTTGACTGATATCCCCCGTAGTGCACACGATTTGGAAAAATAAATCAAAATGGAGATAACTGCTTTTCCAAATGATTATGAATATATTTGCAGCAAAGCACAACGACAGCCTCTGCGATGTTTTAGCATTTTGAACCTCTGGGTCTCAAAATACACAGAAATCTTTTGGTCAAGAACATATTACCGCCTGCAGTGTGTTGTGTTTACACAAAAAGGATCCTCGAACATGCAGTGTGTTAACGTAAATGGAACTACATTAAAATGAGAGCCTGCCTACAGAAAACCAGTGCAGCATTCGGTTCTTCAGCATCATCCCATCAATCATATAGCAGGTAACAAACACTGTATGAACCAGGCTTTTACCCAAAAAAAAAAAAAAACATTAAACCTTACATAAATCTATCCACAGTCAGTATTTGTAAGTAGTTCACATCTTCCACAGGTAGCAGGAAAAGTAGCAGCTGTAATGGCTCTCACACACACACACACATTCATAATCAAAGGCTTCACCCGAACACCTGGCCTGAAGGAGTAAAGCAGGGATGAAGGGATGAAAGGTGAACAGCGAGCCACTTGAGGTCGAGAGATAAAGACAAAGACAAGAGGTGAGAGGGAGAGAGCCGGGTTATTGCTGCAGGTATGAGAGCAAAAAGCAGCAGAACTCGCAGCAGATCCAATAGATGTTTACTCCTTCAGGCACAACACAAACTCTGGCTTTTCTGCTGCTCTCTCTTCATTTTCAGCTGCGCTTTCTGCCTTCAGAAGATTCTTGTTTTGATTCTCAATCTGGAGCTGACTCTTGGTCTTTCTCTTGGTGTTTCTGCCTTTGCTCTTCTTTGCTTGTGTCTTATATAAACCTGTCACCATCACACACAGGCATGTCCACCTTCTCCCTCCATCCGTGTAAGCGCTGTAGGAATGGAGGCCATATTGGGGAGTTTAAATTTATTTCTAGGCGATGTGGATTTATCCGCCTTAACTCACAGGAAAGCCCATGTGCTGTGGATGCGTGCTCATTGCTTTGATTAATGTCACTGAGGAAGTAGAATGTTGTCGTACTACTCGGGGTAAGATGTGTAAGGTGTAAATAAATAAAGGAAACATATTTTTCAGCATAAATGTACAGTTCCGGGCATTAATAAAGCCGCTTGTTCTCGCAGATTCAACATATTCTCCAAACTAAACGACTAAATACTTAATTAGTCACTGCTCTTCAAACCGACTGATGTGAGCAAGAGGCTATTAATATTGTATGACTGCCAACAAATCCCATTCAAAGAGCAAAAGTAAGTCTCAATACTGTCTGACACCCGCACCCTGTTCTACTGAAGGCAGAAACCTTTAAAACAACTACAAAGCTTTATTTTTTTTTCTTTGGAAAAAGGAAAAAAAACAGTCTGTAAATGTTACTCAAACTGGAGGAAATAGTGCATTTTGTGGGGATTGTTTTCAGCTACAGAGTAATTTGGTGCTCGAGTGAGTATTTGGAGTGTTGAGTGAAAATAAACTCCGGTGTGTTCGTGGTGGTGAAGGAACATGACACCCGGTGCAACGGGGTTTGATGTTTTAATGGAAACAGTGCGGTGGATTAGGATACACGCACAATACTTGTCAGTTGGTCGTAGTCAGTATTGCTTTTCATGGGACTGCAAGAAAAAGATCTATACATTGTGGTCAAGGCTAAAAGTAACTGCTGTTAACTGTCAGTAGGAACAAGCGAGATCAAGAAATCAAACTGTGTTTTGTTGACCCAACCATCCACATCGACCTCCACCTAAACTCCTTGAAATGACTGGCAGTTGATCACAGCCACTCTAGTCGACACTTGTGGTTTCATTACATGATGATTTCAGTCAAAATTGCAATTTGGAACATTGCAATTAGCAGACTGTGATTCAAAGTATATATATTTTATTTATTTCGGGGGGCGGCTGTGACTCAGGTGGTAGATGGTAGAGCGAGTCGGTCGATGATGGGAAGGTCGGCGGTTTGATTCCGCCCTGTAACCTGTTTCATGGTGTCCTTAGGCAAGACACTTCACCCACCTTGCCTGGTGTGAATGCATATGAATGGATTGTTTGAGGTGGTGGTCGGAGGGGCAGAATGGCAGCCACGCCTCTGTCAGTCTGCCCCGGGGCAGCTGTGGCTACAATCGTAGCTACCACCACCAGAATGAATGTGTGTGAATGAATAATTGACAGTGTAAAGCGTCTTTGAGTGTCTAGAAAAGCACTATATAAATCTGATCAATTGTTAATTATTATTATTATTATTATATATGTTATGCGGCACATCTAACCCTGTCATGTCAGCAGTTTTACAAACGCTTTGATGGAATCTCATGTGATAAAACTCTGTCACACTTTAAATCTGTTAGGCAGCGACGTTGAACTTTTTAATTATATCGCAAGTCAAAATGCAATATTTTGTAAAACTGCATGTGTTCTCTGTTAACAGGCAGTGTGTGTGACATGCACATAAAAATATTAAAGAGGATAAGTGCACTTTTAACAGCTAAAGCACAACCACAAGGCTGTGGTCCGTGTCGCTCAGAAATGGACTTCTGGCTGCAGGCTGCAGCACAACAACGTAGGAAATAATAATAATAAAAGCAATTAAAACAGACAACAAAGAAAAACATTTAATTATATAACCTACTCACCCGTAGCAAATGCACAAAAATCAAGGAAAACTGACCAAATCCCCCAAACAGAATTGGGCTGACAAAACCCTTCTGCAACGCTTCCAGCAGGGAATTGAAGCCACACAGACGATGGAACAAAACTGTGCTGCAGATGCAACATTATAGATGTGTGCCCTGTTGAATGGGCGTAGAAGAGGGCAATGAGAATGTCACTACACTTGTGCTTCTGCTGCTGACGGGCATTAGTTGTGATCTACAACAATGTAAAAGGTTGCTTGTCAGGAAACGATTGTCAGATTAAAGATTTTGAGATAAAGGTCTTGAGGTTTGAGCCTAAAAAGCATTAATGCTGTAAAAGTCTGTGACATTTTCCCATCAGGCTATAACTTTAGTTCTCAAAATCTCTAAATTTTTCTTTTTATCATTGATCCTCACTAAAAGGGCATGGAAAAAAATGAATGAGTAAATGAAAACTAAATACTGTAATATTAAATATACAACATCTCCGCGGCGTTCACAGTGACTAGTTGGTGCTGCAGGTAAAAAACGAGACAGGCTGTCACTGGATGTGTTACTTTTAGTTTTGTTAATACAAGAAATACTGAAAAAAATGGCTTTATATTTATAATAAAAGGCATTGCTATCACTTTAAAGACTGGGAGTGAAACTTCAATTAATCAGTGTTCTGTAGCAGAAAGAGCGGGCTGTTTAATTTACCTTAAAGTTATTACATCTGTGTCTGAGACTTATTACTCGTCTTGCATCTTGTGTCGTGTATCAGATGTGGTATGTTTGAAGCTCTGAAGTCTGCTATGTAGGCGTCAAATATATAAAACATCACTAACATACCATATGTGTGTGTCTATCTGCAGCTCCAGTCAGACCAGGACCACGGCAACGGCGTGGTCAAGTACGTTCTCTCCGGTGAGGGTGCCGGCACCATCTTTGTCATCGATGAGAATAACGGCGACCTGCACGCCACTCGCCGCCTGGACCGCGAGGAGAAGTCTTTTTATATTCTCAGAGCCACGGTGGTCAACAAACGGACAGGTCAAAAGCTGGAGCCGGAGACCGAGTTCACCATCAAACTCCACGACATCAACGATAACGAGCCTCACTTCAACAAAGAGGTTTACACCGGCAGCGTACCGGAGAGGTCCGACATCGGTAAGGACGGCTCTCGCTGCACTTTGTCACTGTGGGACGAGGACTAGTGTGCTTCTGATCGTTCTCTCCATATAATTCTGCTTCAATGTGAATGTTTCAGGTACCTCAGTCATCCAGGTGACGGCTACAGATGCTGATGACAGCATGTACGGGAACAGTGCCAAACTGGTCTACAGCATCAGCCAGGGACACCCATACTTCTCAGTGGACCCAAACACAGGTATTTTTGACAGTCAGTTCATAATATTGCATCTCAGCACCAACAGTATAAAGCCCTATAAATGTTCTTCAAAGCATCAAATCCAACCATGCAGAGACTTTTATTGCCTTATCGTGAACCTTGAAACGTGCTTCTTCCAACCAACCGACAAATATTATCGATATAATTTCAAATAAGATCAATTCAACGCTTCCTGTAGCTGTTTCAGTGTTACAGCTTTAAAATGTTTTGTGACTGAAGCATTTTAATGATGTGCGGTAACAGCAGAAAATGTTATAATAATAATACATTTTATTTAAAGGCACCTTTCTGGACGCCCAAGGACACTGTACAGAAGAACAGAAAACAAATAAAATACAGGCACAATAAAAGGATGAAAACAACATACAACAGTATAGGGCGAGGGACAATGTGGAGCAGTTACAGAGAATATTAACGTCTGAACAGACGGGAAATGTTGAAGTTTAAAGTCACCTGACAGTTTGGAAAGTGTCGCAGCGTTCATTTAAGCTAGTATTTGTTTAGTACACTAAACATATCACCATTCTGTGTCTGTAGTGGGTGCAGAGAGATGAAGTTGATAGATGATCCATGTGTCCATCCCACTCTGGGTCAATCACCATTTTCTACACTGGTCGACTCTTTAGTGTTTCACCAAATCAGTGGATTTTTCTGCTTTGTTAGTATAACAAAGGGCTGCAGGGTGGCGCAGTTGGTTAGCACAACCAAGAAGGTTGCCGGTTCGCGTCCCGGTGGGGGCACTGGAATCTTTCTGCGTGGAGTTTACATGTTCTCCCCGTGCAGCGTGGGTTCTCTCCGGGTTCTCCGGCTTCCTCCCACACAGTCCAAAAACATGTTGAGGTTAATTGGTGATTCTAAATTGTCTCTAGGTGTGAATGTGAGTGTGCTTGGTTGTCTGTCTCTAAGTGTAGCCCTGTGATAGACTGGTGACCTGTCCAGGGTGTCTCCTGCCTTCACCCTAAGTCAGCTGGGATAGACTCCAGCCCCCCATGACCCTAATGAGGATTAAGCGGTGTATAGATGATGGATGGATAGTATAACAAAGCAGGAAAATAGTTACGCTACTTCAATTCCGTTTTGTTTATATAACACCAAATCATAGTATAAGTAATCTTAGAACAATATTATACAGAGAAACCCAACAATTCCCCCTTGAGCAGCACACAGAGAAAATGGGGAGAACAGAACTCCAGCAGAACAACCTGTGACAGAACCAAGCACAGGGAGGGCAGACATCTGCCTCGCCTGGTCCAGGTGAGGTGAGAGAGAAGAGGGACGTGCTCGAGTCAAAGGCTTCCTCATTTCTAAATGCCTGTAGCAGTTTTAGCACTTTGTGATGGAGAGGACAAAGCACACAGAGCAGACATACAATGTTAATGACATGCAATAGTGGCATATAAATGTGTAACGGGTGAAAGAAGTGGAGGAGGGCTTCTTAGTGCATCCAGTACATCATTGGGAGAATCGCCGGCAGCCTGGGCCTGTAGCAGAGAAAACCAAGGCGCAGTTCATAGTCACCTAACGATAAAGAAAGTTTAAAACCTAATCTTAAAAGTAGAGGGGGTGTCTGCTTCCCCAGTTCACTTTATTAGACAGGACATTTTCCAGTGTCTACTCCACCACCAGAATTTAATTTGTGTGAACAGTGTGAATCAGCGTCTAGGGTGCTTTGAATGGGATGCTCGTCTTTGTTTGGTGCTTCATATCGCATTTTCAGCCAATACATCTGTTTTTCTGCCACATAAAACTCTAGAAAGCCGTCGTATTAAAAAGTAAATACACACTTAGTGCGTCATCACCTTGCTCCGCTAGATAAACAGAAAAAGAAAATGTTAAAAAAAAATCTTCTACTGTTATTTCTGCTACCGTAAAATAAAAAACCCAGCTCAGCCCTGATCTTATGTACTCATCCCTTTAGATAATCAGTTCATTAATCTCCCTCTCTCTGCTCATCTGTTTGTTTCTAACAAATAGAGGAGTCAGGGCCATGGTCAGATTACTGCTGGCTGTGGATTATACAGTAATGATGGAACGTGATCTCTGATGCTGAAAGTGGAACATGTAGACAAACAAAAACATTGAGGCAAAAAGCAAACGTGTGGCTCAAGAACTAAAGGCACCTAGAAGAATTATTTAACATTTTGGGAAGTACTCTTTTCTGCTTTTTTCTCCGAGTGTGAGATGAGAAAGCTGATACCAATCTGTCTTGAAGGTCTTGAGTGGTACAGTTTTCACTACTCTTACACTGCTGTATGTGAGTAGCTTCTAAGTGGTGCCGCAAAAATCCACACTGCAAACATAAAAATAGAAGGGCCTTGTGTTTATGTTGATTACATGTGATATATGTGGCCCTTTTACATAGAAGTGGGTCATAACGTTTCTGTATTTGTTGAAATGAAACTACCGGTAAGCAGGAAGTTACAATTTTTGTTTCAAAAGGGCTTTCAGTTTGGAGTCTTGATCCCCTGCTGGCATTTATTTTCCACTGGCAGTTGCTTAGTAACTTTATTCCTCACACAGTTTCCAGATGTGTAGTCTGTAGATGTTCATTTAGCCATGTTACACAAACTTTGCCAAGTCGTGGTGATACCGTACGAAATGGCACCGATTTACTAATGTGGTCACACAAGGCTCGCACAACGGTTCTGTGACACTTTAAACCTTATAGTTGAACCCTCTCACCAGTATTACACCAAGAGAATAGCTATTTAGGTACTATTTTTTCTTGTTTCAAGCATCATTAGTATATAGTATATTCATTTGTTCTTCGTCTGTTCACACAGTGGTCCCTACAAATGTGCAATACCATCAATGACCATGATGTGCTATATTTTTCTAAATCCATACTGTACATATAACCTATACTGTATACTGTATATATAACTTATCTTATTTTTTATACTTAAATCTCTTCTATTTTTCATTTTTTTTGCTCTTTATTTTGTACTTTGTTATATATGGCACTGAAGGAGTTGCTCTCAATCTCATTGTACATGTGTATAGTGACAATAAAGGCATTCTATTCTATTCTATTCTGGTCACCAGAGATGAGCTGTGTCCATACATTTCAGCACAGATCCTGTCAAAGTTCAAAACTCACTGCAAGGTAGAAAAAAAAAGAGGAAGCACGCCAAAAAGCTTTTTTTTTTTTTTGCAGTATTTCGTGGCTTCTGTACTATAAAATTCAGCTAAACATGGTTGAAATCCAGATGTGCAGCAGCAGCAGGAAATATTGTGTCATTAGTGTAAGTTAATCCAGCTTTGATCCAGCTGTGGGACAGTAAATTGATAACATTGAGGCTCATAAAAATGAGATAAAACTCCTCTTGATCATGTGTTCGCATCATTTACTAATATCTAGTGTGGGGAAAATGAGTACCGCTTGAGGAAAAGTCTCCCAAATGTTGCAAAATCTCACCCAAATTCACTGTAAACAGTTTTTACTCACAAAATCAAAGTCTAATGGCAAAAATTTCACAATTTCAGTTTTCTTATTCCGAGCTGTAATCTTATCTGAAAGAGCAGCTTTGTTTCTCGCCTTTGAGTAGTGTTTGCTCAAGAACGATTTGCAAATCCAGAGTCAAGTTTAAACGATTTAAAATGGTTTTTGGCATCCTTATCAGTTGATTAGAAATACCATTGTAGATACACCTGACTTTATCTGCAAAACAAGTGGAACAAGCCGTGTATTGATTGGAGAAAAAAAACAAAGTATCAGCGCAACAGATGGTAGGTTCATCTCTCAAACACCCACTAAAGAAACAAGTCAACGTAGCATCAGCTGAGGGAAAAAGAAGTGGAAAGACATGTGAAATGAGAAAACTCACGGGCAGAATTTAAACACAAAGTCGTGTCTTTTTCGTTCAGGTGTGATCCGGACAGCCCTGGGTCCCGGCGACATGGACCGCGAGCAGAGGGAACACTACCAGGTGGTGATCGAAGCGAAGGATATGGCCGGACAGAGAGGAGGGCTCACCGGCACCACCACGGTGAACATCACCCTCACCGACGTCAACGACAATCCTCCCCGCTTCACTCAGAGTAAGGCGACGGCACCAAAGGAGGACAGACTGCATACAAATGATGAAACACTGAGTCACACACATGCATTAATTATCGAGTTCAGAGGCACAAAAAAGCGAGTACAACTGTTGTGCTTTTCCATATGAAACACCACATTTAAATGCTTCTAGTCATGTCTGGTAAAGTTTCCCTCTGAGATTAAAACGTAACTTAAATTGAACAACTCTCACTTGACCTGCAGTAGAAATCGACAGGACGTGGAAAGACAAGTTGGAGACTGAAATGCCACAGTTTATATCCACAAATCAAATTCGCCCTCAGGAATCAATGAGGTGTTTCATTTAAATGGCAGCCACCTCTAAAAAAATATTTGATATTTTACCTGTTAATGAGAAAAGGTGTGATTTTATGGAGCAGCACAGTGTGTAAACACTAATGGAAATCTTGTGTGAGTAGTGAGTGAGGAGGAGCTGCTGGCTGTAATTATACACACTGCATATGTCATTAACTTACCACTGAATGAATTTAAGTGGAGCAGTCACTGCTAAGATAATGGCAATGTTTTAAATCAAGTTAGTTCTAGTTGCTTTACTGTCATTATAAACTCCCCCCAAACACAAACAGAGAAGCTGTCTGATGCAAATCTCTGCACAGTTTGGGATGCTGTTACGGCCCAAAGAAGGCACCAACATATTTAAAAAGGAGACACAGGGAACCTGGGTATTTCAACTTTCATTTGTTTATTTTTCAAACGATTTGAAAGAAAAATGAATATCCGCTTAATCTCCCCGTACCCCAAAAAAAACAACCAAAGTCAAATTAAAGGTGGACCCGGCAGGTCGACCAAACAAAACAAAAAGATGTGGCACCGGGCCAACCCTATACAGGCGCCGTCGAACACCGAACGAAAAGAAATCCCACCAACCTAATGTCCAAGAAACGAAAACTGGCCGGCCGATCCCGCCGGGTCAAACAATCTAAAACTCAAAAGGAAGAGATGCCAGGCCGGCATCAGCCAGGCTGTCAACGTGGCAGTTGGTCTGCGAGGACGCACACGGTCCGAGGCGCGCCGCAGCTACGAGGAGCCTGTAGGTGAGATGGTTGGGAGGCAGGAGCAAGAAGCGAGAGAGCAGAGAGAACAGAAATCCAGCCTATTTATAGGCGGAGCAGTGGCTCTATCAATTACCGAAAAAAAATGAACTAAACATGCTGCAATAACACATAAAACGAGGGGAAAATATGCAAAACTAAAGAAAGGGTAAAAAATGTGCCCCCAGCACATAACAGATGCAAAGTTTCATGGCCTCAAAAAGCCCCTTTTCTATGGCATCAGATTTATGTCCGATATCACCAGTAAGCACATTTTATTGAATCATACATGCAGAATAATAACTGACTTGCTCTCAGATTCAACAGAGGTTTGTACAAGAAGCCACAAGCAGGAAACAAAAAATACAGAAAGCCAAAGAATGACACTTGAGCATGTCGAACTAAACAACGGTTTCTTTTTGGACGAAAAGACATACACGTTTTCACAGACTAACTGTGCTCTCAAAGATGAACTCTGCTCGCATGAATTCACCTGACTTTTGACAATTTGAGGGCAAAAGCTGATAGAGGCGCCGGTCCTGTTATGTGTAGTCGCCATCGATGCATTCACACAGACACACACACACACAACGTCCTTGAACCTTTGACTGACAGCTTTCATTATCCGAACAACAGGAAGTCGGTTCGGCCACAGAATCAATGTATTATTCATCATGTTCGTGTTCAATTGAGAATCCAGAATCGAAAAATTATAAAAGCTGTTTGTGATTCATTTGTGAATCCAACACACAAAAACCTAATAACAGCTTGTTTGTGTGAAATAATATAATTTCCTGAGACATGCAATCATCTGAGTAATTATACTGAGTAAAGTTATGCGTTGTAATTAAGGGAGGTATTTTGCCTGGATGTAGATCTATAAGGGTTGCGGTTAAGGTGCTTTCAGACAACAAGCACCTCCATTATCCCGACAATGGCTGCAGTAGTCGATGGCAGCGACAAGGACGGAGAGAGGCTGGCTACCACACTCGTGTGTGTACGCTGCATTGTCATTCAAAATACACAACCACTTGACAGATGCAGGCATCATTTACACTCTTATTCTTCCAGGAGGAACACGGCAAACTGCTAAGTGGCAAGAGAGAGAGAATAGAGCTGATAACTGAGGAATCCAGAGGCAAAACTGATTGGGGTTAGGTGTCCAAGTGGAGATGGCTGGGGTTAGGACGGACCAGTGGAAGACGGATTACAAAGGGATTGAAACCTAAGACAAACATGAAGACGTTCCAGGATGAAGATGTCGAAATGAGCCGGTGGTGACGGGGAAAGAATCTAAAGTGCTTCAGAGTGGGTTAGGGATTCAAGTGGACTGTTAGGGGATAACTTGTTAGTCAGGTGAATCAGATCCAGAGCAGTAAATAGGTTGAAGGCTGAACGTTGGTCAGTTCAGAGGTTTTCAGCTCCTTGTTAAGCTGATTCTGTTGTGGCTCACTCTGCTATCGGCTGCTCATTTCAGGCGTCTTTGTCCTTCACTTCTGCTGTCTTTGTGGCGCCATTTTCAGCAACCTTTGGGCTAGCAAACTACCGCACTGAAAAGATTTGCAGAGGATTTTAAACATGCAGTAAAGCATGTAATCTTGGGTGTGGATTATCTATTTTAATGACAATTCTCACCTCTCTGAATGCAAATGTGCCCCCAAAACAATACCCAAGTCACCATCTCGAGTGAACACCGAAACCGCTTCCTTCGCTTAGCCCTGCCCTCGACGACTGGGATTGATTTAAAGAAATACAAACAAGCCAGAGCATTTTTTATTTTTTTTCTCATACAGCAGAATGATAGTGTGGTGCAGCCAGAACATTATGTTCTACAGAAGAGGCTGGCAAAGGAAGACGAAGCCAATTCAAATGACGGACCTACACTATGCCAATCACAAAACAAACCCATAAATGTGACAACAGCTTGAACTACTAGCTGATGACTTCTTGTGCTCACAGTTGTTGCTCACAGCGTTGTTATGGACCTGTAAATAACGTGTTCAGCTGACATACCAGAGGCCAACAATGGCTGCACTACAAACGCAGTAACACACTTAATGAAGTTTCTCCCGAACTCTATAACTCATCCTGTCCATCACAGCAGGAGCACCGTTCACTCCCAGCATGTCAAACCATTCAAAGTCCAGCCCTGTCTGCTGGAGAAGCGAAACACTACTTCTCCGGAAAATGACTTCGCCAGCTGTGTGCGTCGTTCCAGGGGAATTAGTCCAACTAACATTAATTCTTCCCGAAAGCTTCTTAATTAATTAAACTTAATTAATCCTTAATCACTGGAACAGTCTCATTGTAAACATGCGGGCTTTGTACCAAGAACTCTCTCAAGACCTCTGTGGATTCAACAGCAGCACTGTCTATTTATAATACCTTCTCCAAATCTGGTCTCAAATTGTAGCTTGGACTGCTATGGCTTAAGGCTGCAACTAACAAGTGTTTATTGTTTAATCTGTAGATTACTGCTCAGGATAATCAGCATCATTCAGTCTGTAAAACGTCAGGAAATTGCCAGAAATGCCTGTCAAAGTGGTGTTTAAATGACTTGCTTAGTCCAACTAACAGTCTCTATTTAGAGGAAAGTAGCAGGTTGTCACATTTGAGAAGCTTTAATCGTCAAATTGATGTCTTTATTTATAGGGCTAATTAAAACTGAGTGACCCCAGAAGTGAACTTGTGAAATTCTGACAGTTTTGAGGCTGTCAGACGTGAACAGTTGTATGTTTTTTTTTTAATCCTACTCTTGTGGAAGCAACAAATATTTTATTGCCGTAAAAAAAAAAATAATGCAGCAAAGGAAAAAGTTGAGTTGTTGAAGACCCATTGAACCGGCAGGGCCACCTCCATCCCCTAAAGGCAACACTCTGACTGGGATGCTCCTGCAGCTTGTGTTGTGTTTCCATAAAGCAGCAGTCGAGCTCCAAAAACACTGATTCCTACGTTTTTCTATAATGCAGCTCAACGGCGTGTTTATTTGCTGAGCCTGGTGGACGCCCACTTTCATCAAACTGCACACACGCCTTGTTTGTAATGCAGCTGCGCGAGCCGAGATAACCCTGATGATACTTATTCATTATACACGCGCTTTCAAAGGCTGAGCCCTACTCCTTGTGACTGGTAAAGTGAACTGTGCGTGTGAAACCGCGGAGTATTCCTTTTTAGATAAATGAAGAAAATGACACGGAGTGTAGCAGGAGCGTCAGGGAGGGAATAAACAAATAATCTGAATACTAATTCTGGCACTGATTCCCATAGCAACAGGCCCACTGTGGTCAGCACTAATACATAAATAAATACATTTATGGATCCAGAATAGTTCATTAATTAGAACTGGTGTTCTGTGCGAGAGCAGATTAGCCTGTCCAATTTTGCCATCTAATGTTCATGATTGGAACTTAATCTATATAGGCTTTCTAAATGAGGGGTTAATTATCGAACCTTGTATGTGGCAGAGCTCAATGTTATGAGATGAGCCACAACTAATCCGATAATTCAGATATAATGCTGCATAGACTGTAACGGTCTCTTGATGTTAAAATAGAATCAGAAATGTCACATAGACGTACCCTTTAATATTGTACTACACCAGTTTACATTGTTTTCGCCTCACAGTCTTTACAGAACCGTTTTCTAATTTAAATGCTTTTGATTTCGTGTTGGTTATTCAATGACAATCCAGACTTCACAGCAGCAAGGTTCAGTGGAAATACTTTTAGCTGAAATAGTCAGTATAAAAAATGACAGCATGTGCTTCAGAGCTTCCAGAGCAACAAAAATCACTGTCTCTGGGAGAAAAATAAAAAAAAAAGAGATGTTGCTGCTGAATTTTTTAAAATATAATTTTTCAGTGCTGTGAGCCAAAACAGGATCAGAGCTACTCAGGCAACTACCCCCTGGGCCCCCGGACCCCCCGGGGC